GTGGTGGTGGTGGTGATGAGGATACCTACAATGACGATGACGATAAAGGCGATGATGCGGCTGGCTATGATGACGACGACGACCACGATGATGATGTGGCTGCTGGTGATGCTGCTGCTGATGATGCTGATGGTGATGCTTATGATGGCGATGATGGAAGGGGCGGTGATGATGCAGGTGCTGAGGATGATGTTATCGACGATGATGCTGATGCTGACGACGACAAGACGGCGACGATGTCGATGATGGTGATTACGATGCTGCTGATGATGATGACGGTGATGACGGTGATTCTGATTATGCTGATGATGATGATGCTTTTGCTGATGCTGATTACGGCGATGACAACGATGACGATGGTGGTGATTGCGATGATGGTGGTGATGATGATGTGGATGATGTTGTCGCTAATGGCGACGATGACGATGAGGATAATCATGATGATGATGATGATGATGATGATGCTGATGATGATGCTGACGAGGATGATAATGAGGATGATGATGCTGACGATGCTGATGCTGATGGTTCTGATGATGATGATGACGAGGATGATGATGTTGTTGGCGACGATGCTAATGCGACTGATGATGATAAGGAGGATGATACTGAGGACGGTCATGATGGTTGTGGTGGTGGTGATGGTTATGATGATGAAGCGGATGATGATGCTGATGATGATGAAGAAGAAGAGACGGAGACAGAGCAGGAATAGTTGGACCAGTGTAAACCCACGGTGCATCAACAATGTTGAAATAGAGCCGTCCTCCAAGTTCTCTCTATTCATAGGTTCCTGCACGAATTTGTTTTCATTGCGGGAAGTGCCCCTGTAGAAGACAACCGTCTGGGAATCCGCAATCGTGCCGAACCACCGTTCTTGGGACGTCAACGCCGCGAACAACGTGACTGTCGCGTCTCGACAACCCGAGATCGAGTTAGAACACTGTTCCTGGGACTTCAACTCGTGCCACAATACAATTCCTATTTCGACCATGCGACTCCTCAAGCTGCTGCAAACTTTAAGACGAATGTGCGCAGCGCTTAGGCGAGACCCACATTTTACAATGGAGCCGTCCTCCATCCTTGAAGCAGCTGCAAACTACTTTTGAGACGAGTGTGCGCGGCGCTTTAGCGAGAGCGCATTTTGAAAATGACCCGCCCTCTATCCGTGAAGTTGTTCCAAACTTTTGAGACGAGTGTGGGCGTGGCGCTCAGGCGAGAGCCACATGTTGAAAACGATCCGCCCTCCATCCGTGAAACTGATGCGAACTTTTAGGGCGAATGTGCGCGGCGCTGAGGCGAAAACCACATTTTGAACACGACACGCCCTCCATCCGTGAAGCTGCTGTAATTTTCTAGCTTCGGGGCCATACATGGTGCGGAAGTCCAAGGCGACATGTCTTGGGGTGCGACAGGGATGGAGGAGGAGGAGGAGGAAAAGGAAGGGGAGGAGGGGGAGGAGGAGGAGGAGGATGAGGATGAGGAGGAGGAAACGGAGGAGGAGGAGGGGGAGGAGGAGGAGGAGGAGGAGGAGGAGGAGGAGGAGGAGGAGGAGGAGGAAAATGAGGCGGGGGAGGAGGAGGAGGAGGAGGAGGAGGAGGAGGAAGAGGAGGAGGAGGAGGACAAGAGAACGAGGGCCCATCTCGTCCTCTTCCTCCGTCTTCCCTGCCGCTCCCCTTGCACTGCCCGGCTCCTCCCTGCCTGCCGCCCCTCGCCGGCAGCCCCAGCCCCTCGGTCCGACCCCCCCTGCGGCTGACGATTTCCGTGCCCCCAAGTCAATGTCCTGGTCGTTCTCCCTCTTCGTGCTCCTCCTCTCCTCGCCCCCCCCTTTCCTTATACATTCTTCCACCTTCTCTCCTCTTCTCGCCTTTCCGTCTGCCCCCCCCTCCCTCAGAGCGTGAATTACCTACCCTGCTTTCGCTTCCAGGCAAAACCAAGTCATACCACGCGCCTCCTCGTCAAGCGGCCTAACCAGTGCAGGCCGTAGTCTGTCTGGCATCGCTTGGTATCTCTTGGAAGCGAGGGTGGTCAAAAACGAGGTTAGGTATGCCTGTTTGCCCCCTACTCCCGTCCTTCCAGCCTTTGCTGTCCACACGTTCGGCCTGCTGGTGCTGCTCCGACCTCGCGCATCACCATAAACGGCTCGTTTTTTTTTTTGTTTCCTATTTTTTTCTGTAGTTGGGGCGTTCAGCGGGCCATCGGCAGCGAGGGTGATTCGTGGACGGTTGGCGCGGGGCGTGTGTGCCGCTATCTGCCGTTCCTCCGCTTCCGCTGCCTGCGGCTAGTTGCCGCTATGTGGCCGCTGTTTGCCGCTGTTTGCCGCCATGTGCCGCCATATGCCGCTATTGGCAGCCATTTGTGGTAACCAGCCAACATTTTGATTCAGATAGGCTTCCGCATCAACTTGCGTCAATCATCGGCGGCGCGTTTCGCGAGGCGTGCTCCCATGTCACGCGCGCCTCACCGAGTCGCATTTGCCGTCAAGAGCGCTTCCGTCAACAGTGCCTGCATTGGGTGTTTTCCAGTATCTTGTGAGGATCTGCCCTTGGCGATGGGTGATTTTCTCGGTGTTCGGTGTTCGGGGCCGTTCCCGACTGCTTTTGTTGTGACTGGCGGTCAGCGATTTTATCGCTGCAGGTGTTCCCTGTTGTTCCCAAATTCTCCTGCTGTGTCAGGTTTCCAGGGGTTCGCTTGATTTGGCGGCTGGAAAATGCTCATAGACAGCGGTTCGATATGATGACTCTAAACACGCGGCTCTGATTCCAAAAGCAGTGCACATCATTGCACCTGGCTGCAAGGGACCGCACGCGAGTCGCTTCTTTCCGGCTGTTCCTCGTGGGCGGAAAACACATCCGCATCCGCGGTCTCGCGGGCAAAGCCCCCTGGGCCGCGACCCCGCGGATGCGGGGCTCTTTTGCGGGATGGCGCCCCGGAGTCCAGGAGGACGGGCAGGAGAAATACTAGGAGGAGGGTGCCCACTCCTCTTTTTAATCCAGTGCCTCGCTGCGGCCTTCGTGCTTCGGTGCCGTCGGGAAGAAGAAGAAAGGAGGAGCAGGAGCAGGAGGAGGAGGAGGAGGAGGAGGAGGAGGAGGAGGAGGAGGAGGAGGAGGGGGAGGAGGGGAGGAGGAGGAGGAGCAGGAGGAGGACGAGGGAGGAGCAGGAGGAGGAGGAGGAGGAGGAGCAGGAGGAGGAGGAGGAGGAGGAGCAGGAGGAGGAGGAGGAGGAGGAGGAGGAGGAGGAGGAGGAGGAGGAGGAGGACACGGATATTCTCGCCGCTCGTGAGCCTGGCACCCCTGCCCGAGCCGCTCCGCCTCGCCCCTGCGGGGGGAGACCTCGCCGAGGGCCGCCCCAGTCGCTCTCCCGCTCGGCCTGCGGCGCCCCATTGGTCGGCCGTGAGCTGCTGGAGGTCTTGCCTGAGCTGCTCGACGTGCTGGAGACAATTTTTATGTACAAATATATTTTCATACATCAGCGGGGAATCGGACGAGTATCCTCAGCGTGTAGCGCTGGAACGCACCATCATTGCTTTTCATGTGTGCAACATCCAGTCGAAACTGCCGCCAGGGAAGTGGACACTCCCAGAGGTGGCTGTGGATAGTGCCCGTGCTGCAAGGGCACTCTTCCTCTCAACGCACAAGCCTGCTGCTCAATAGTCTGCTTGACTCATTGTGGAGCGCAAGCACGAGCGATATATAGAGGTTATAAACATATATACACCAAAAGTGTAGCATAACAAATAAGAAACCAACCTTTCCGTGGTACGGCTGGGAGCGCGAGGGCGTGGGTATGCATACGTTTGCCGCTCGCGAGTTCCCGGCTGTCCATACCGCCCCGGGCCGCCGACCAGTTCGGTGACAAGTCGTGAGAGCCCTGTACGTCCCCGAAGTTCCACTTCTAGAGTGCATTGGCGTGCTAGCGCTGACCGATGAGAGAGCGCCGATCTAGCGCCCAGTAGCGTCGACTCTGCGTCGGTTGGCGTCGATTGGCGTCGGACAGCGTCGATTTGGCGTCGGTTAGCGTCGATTCGCAAGCGCCAGCAAGATGGCAAGGGAGGCTATCATGAGTTGCCACCGGAGTGTGCTCCCGGCTGTTTCAGCTTGCCGGGACTCTGCCCGGTTTTTTGGGGGCAGTCTCGGCCTGCTCGCCTTTCATCACCGTTTTGGTGGCCCACGCGCCAGGCACGCGTCTCTCTTGGCGCCTCGCTGGATGACGACAGCCGAGGCGTCCCAAAAAGGGCCGTGACTTCGAGGATCGATGGAGTTGTCATCTCTTCCTCGGCGGAAGGCGGCGGAAGGGCGGCGGGAGGTCGGCGGAAGTAAAAGGAGGCCGCCTCCGCCGGCGGAAGCCGGCGGAAGGGCGGCGGAAGGTGGTGGAGATACAAAAATGCGACCTTACGATATGATAACATCTTTGGGTTAAGGGTTTCCCTGAATGCGCCACCCTTTTCCTTCTGGACGGGGGACGCAGAGCGCCTCCACTGGCCTCGGAGGGGCTGTCGAGGGGATCCCAGAGAAGAGATTTCAAGAACGTGCAGGGGCTCAATTCTCAGGCATTGCCAAGGGCCATGTAGGAACCTTCCAGGGGCTTCCGTAGCCATTTTGGCTCAAGATGCGCAAACAGAACACACGTTCCCAGAAGGAGTTTTGTTGTGAGTGTGTTCTGTAATCGTCAGGAGGGGAAGAAACACACAGACACAATTAATCGGCGATTCCCAGAAAATATGGGAAAATATGGGAAGTGGGGGGGAAGGCAAAAACCCAGAATTTATGGGGAAATATGGGGGATAATTTTATTTGTGTGTATTCATTTGCGTGTCCTGGGGCCCCTTCAATGATGCGCTTCTCCAGGGCCGCCCTCGCTGGCCTCTCCCTGCTCGGTGGAGCCGTGGCCGATGAGGACATCGTCCTGCCACCGGTGGTGACCAACCCGGATTTCCCAGAGCGCCTCCTGGTCCTTCTTCCAGGTGGCCTGGTTCGAACTTTTTCCACCCTCTGTGCAAGATGCAAGCTACGAAGAAACACAAGTTCTGGTCCTGTACTGCTCATCTTGTCTCCGATTCAACGGTCTCGTTCAAAACGGTGGCCGGTAAGAACGTCACGCCAGGGTTACGTGTTAACGAGAACCACAAGATGACCGGCGAGGCCATCCAAAATGCTACTGCGGACATCCGTCTCGCTGTCGTCATCCCACAGGTCTTCCAGCGTTTGTGCATCACCACTTGCCCAGGCAAGAGCGTCTGCTCACCGTTGAAGGGCCCCATCGACGACGCAGTGTCCAAGTCCAGCTTCAGGGGCACACATCCAAAAGAAGATACTTTCATCGCTGGCCACTCCCCGGGTGCTACCTGCGCGAACTTCCTGATGCAGGGCTGCGACTACGAGTACGCTGGCCTCCTCGAGTTCGGCGGCTTCGTCGATCTCATTGGCAATGCTTCCGTCGCGAACTTCAGCATTCCGGTGCTTCATATGGCCGGAGAGGTGGATGGTGGCGGTGCTCGTGTTTCGTCCATGGCCAGCTTGTATGCGCAGTCACTGGCTTTCGCCGACTCTCATGGCCTCGAGGAGTCTCTGATCAAGAAGCCAGTCCAGATCCTCGAAGGTCTGGATCGCTCCGACTTCTGCCCAGGCTTCTTCGTCACGAAGACCAAGGACTGCAAGTCGGAAGTGACCCAAGACGTCGCCCTTGACACCATCGGCGAGGTGGCGAGCGCTTTCTTGCACCTGAACGCTCCAACTTCGAATGCAACCAAGCAGGCTGCCATAGAGGTCACGAAGAAGAGATTGACTTTCACCAAGGAGATGGCCGAGCCATTCCTGACCGCGTTCCAGCTGGAAGGCGCTGAAGTTGCCTCGCCACCAGCAGGCGTCCCTGCAGGACCTTGGTGCAACGTCGGTCAGGATGCGGTTGCTGACTTGAGTCCGTCCGACGCTGGTAAGCTGAAGGCCGAGAAGTGCACGCTCATCACCGGTGGCCTGCACCAGTTCGAGTAGCAACACACCAATTACAGTATCAAGCAGGATGGTTCCCTGGAGGTCTCTTGTTTCACTGCCTTTGAGCCCTCTCCTCACAGCATCTCGGGCGGCCAGTTCTCTGCTACGTCGGTGGACTGCAAGATGGTGGACGCTACGCGCATCGCCGAGCAGCTCAATATTCAAACGAATACCAGCATTTCCTGCGCTGGCGTGAACCGAATGGCGGTCGAGGTGGCGATGAAGATGCTCCCAGCCAAGTCTCTCAAACGCTTCCAGGAGAGGGGGCGTGGAGTGTGCTTCATGGAGGATGCTAGCGTTCCTGGCAACATCGGTCCTCTTTGGGCCCAGTCATTCATCAAGCTCGACGAGGCCAAGGAATGCCTGGAGGTCACCCCCATGCCTCCATGAAACTGATATCTGACATCCACTCGTACATATACCCAGGCAACCACTATTGTAAGCTCCTGCCTCCAGCCGCTGCCATGGATTGGATAATGACAGACAGTCACAAGCCTTTCCCATACCCATCCTCTGAGAGATTTGAGGCCATCGTGATCTAGAGAGTTATGCTTGAAACTATCCCGATCTAGAGTTCGCGCCTGTGACGTCAAAAAACCGTTTTGGCTACTCTTCGTTTCGCAATCCGTTCGAAATGTACAGAGATTGCGTTTTTCTTTCGATGAACATGGCAGGCTGAGGAGCTTGTATGATCAGACACCCGAACAGCAGGAGGCGCCTTGGCGTTTTGTTTCAGGCATTGAGTTTTGCATTCCATTGTCGCGCCCTGTCTTCCCCACCGAAATTGGCATGGCGAAGGACCCCACCCTGTGCAGGCGCGAGTAACGCAGGCTGCGGTCCGCTCTGAAGATTCGCACCGTTAGAAAAAAAGAATGTTCCAGGGTCTCCCAGGTGCCCAGACGGGTGTGTAAGGATCTCCACGGGGTTCTCAGTGGCTTCGCAGGGCTCCCCTGTGATTTCCAGGAGCTCCCGGGGGCGTCCTGTGGCTCTACATGTTCTTCTAGAAGCTTCCCATGGGTATTCTGGCGTGGCTCCCCAGCCAGCATTTGTCAGGGCCCCCAGGTGGCACCTCTGGGCTTTTCCAGGCACCCCGGGTGCTTCTTGAGCTTCCAGAGGTGTGTGTCTGTATGTGCGTGTGTGTTTGTGTGTGTGTGCCTGAGTGTGTGTGTGTGTGTGTGTGTGTGTGGATGAGGCCTCAGTTAGCACCAGGCTGCTGCTTGTGCTCCAAAATGCCCGCGTTGAGCTTATGCTCCGGTTTTTTTTGGCCGCTGTACTTTTGCTTTGCAGCGCTTCTCGTTTTTCACCACCTCACCACTTTCGGCATCCCCATGGCTGGGCTGTTTCATCATGGTGCGTTCGAGTAAGTTCGTTCGCAATTGGCACCTCCACCTGCCGACCGCGCCCGGGGCTCTTCTGCACCGTCGACTCAAAAGTCTATGTGTGTGTGTGTGTGTGTGTGTCTGTGCGGGGTTGAGGTGGCCGTGCGTGCGCCGGGTCCGCGGCCACAGGTGTGCGGAGCAGAGGCGTGGCGGAGGACAGCGTTCGACTACAGCCGAGCATTTGATTGAGAAACTTCCTCCCGAAAAGCTGGGCCAGCGTTTCTTCGCCAACTTGCCGGAAAGGTGGCCCGGTTTTTTGAGCACGTTCGCCCTCCAGCGTCGATAAAAAACCTGGCCCAGGGTTGTCTTAAGAAATTTCTGGGAAGCTGGCCCAGATGTCTTGAATGCCTGGGCGGCCGCGGCCGACACGCTATTCACAAGTTCCCGACCATAGACATACAATTTCGAAGCTCCGCGCGGATTTCTTGGATCTGCGCTGGACCCCGCTGGCGGCGCAGCACCTGGCGCGCTCCGCGCGCCAGGGAGGGGGGTCCAGCGCAGGTCGAAGAGATCCGCGCGGCGCTCTGAAAGTTTAGGTTTATGCAGTTCTTTGTCCCTCAAACCGTGTCTGTGACGTTTTTCGGGATATTTTGAATGAAGCATTCCGACGTCTGCATGAGCGGTGAAACAGGGTGACACCTCCGCATACATGTGCTTGCCAGCAGTCTGCTCAAGGAGCCTGTGCATTGTGCCCCTCAGCCGCGCCGAGAGCGCACAACCACCCACATGCTTCTAGGCTTGCAGGGAACTGTTCTTCCAGCGCCGATGTCGACTGACAGCCGCGGGTTTGTGGCATCAGCCGCAGAGGGCAGCTGCCTCATGGGGGGCGAGTGTACCCCCGCTCAGGCTTCGCAGCGAGGCAGCTCCTTCACGCGATCGGCGCTGGCCGGCGCAGTTGCGGCTGGGAGTGCGACCGTAGTGTTCCACCCGATGGACACGGTCAAGGTTGTGCTGCAGCGTGGAGGTGCGGAGGGTGTCGCGGCTGGCGCCATCGCCACAGTCAGGAGCGTCGGGGCGCGCGGGTTGTACCGCGGCGTCCTGCCGGCAGCGCTCTCGATGGCGCCCGCCTGCGCCGTGAGAATGGGCAGCTACGAGAGCATGAAGGAGCTGCTGCTGGCGGGCAGAAGAGGAGGGGAAGTAGGGCATGGGTCGCGGGTCGCGCTCGCATCGGCGCTTTCCGTCGTGGCGTCATCGCTGGTGCGCTCGCCGCTAGACATGGTCAAGACTCAGCTGCAAGCGGGTGCTTCTTCAGGCTCTGGCTCAGCTCTGCGGGTGGCATGGCATAGCGGCGGAGTCGCTGGGCTATACCGTGGCGCGGGCTTAGCCCTCATGCGGGACGTGCCGTTCTTCAGCCTAAACCTGGTGCTCTACGAGCAGCTGCGGTTGCAGCAGATACAGTGGCGCTGCCAGCGGCAGCAGGCTTGCGCAGGCGCCGAGCTCCTCCCGACTGAGGCGGTTCTGATCGGCGCAATCGCGCAGGGCTTGGCCGGCTTTGCCACCAACCCCGTCGACGTGCTCAAGACGCGAGTCCAGGCAGACGCTGCGGCCGGAGGTCGCGGCACGGCGGGCGGGGTCGCGGAGGCACTGCGAGCCGTGCTGCGCGAGGGAGGGGCCCGCGCACTCATGCGCGGCGCTGGCATGCGCACGGCGTGGATCTGCCCGCAAGGGTGTATCTATTCGAGAGGCTTGCGCCAGCCCACCGACCCCCAGAAGAGAAGATGTGCTGCTTCCGATTTCGCATGTGTGGTCAGCCGCTTCCAGTCGTGCTGCCTGCGCGTGGTTGTTGCCGATTCGCTCTCCTCTTCCTCCGCGTCTTTTGCGTGGCTTCTTGGGGTCATCTTGGAGGCCCAGGGTGGTATCTTGGGAGTCTTTTCAAGGCTCCTGGGGGCTTTCGGGGGCCCTCTTGGGGCTTCTTGGGGGCCTCTTGGGAGCCTTTTGGGGAGCATGTTGGGGGTCTTGGGGCCCATCTTGTGGGGGAGGGCTCCCTGCGAGTTCACCCTCTCGGGTCCCTCTTGGCCCTTCTTGGGCCCCTCTTGGGGCCTTTGAAAGCATGTTTGGTCGTCTTGGGGGTGTCTCCGGGCCTTCTTGGGCCGTCTCTGGGCACTCTTGGCCCTCTTGGGGCGTCTTCGGGACGTCTTGGGCAGTCTTGAGGCCATCTTGGGTGCTCTTGTGGCTTCTCCAGCGTGTTTGAGCCCTTCTGGAGCCATTTTGAACGTCATATTTGGCATCGTGGCTGCCACAGAGGTTGGCTTTGGAGGCTCCCGGTGCCCTGGAGGAGCGCTGGGGAGGTCGTACCCCCCCCCTCTAACGGGATTTCGGACCCCAGGGGAGGGGGAAAGGGAGAAGGGGGCAGCGAAGTGTCTCACACGCTGTTTCGCCCCCTGGAAACGGGGGTCGGCGGATTACCCTGTTTATGAATACATGCAGCAATTCAAGCTGGGCTGACGAGCGCTGGGTGACCACGTTTTCAGCTGCAGCCTGTGAGCAGTATACTATGACTGAGGGCTTTGAATAAGCACGTGCTCTCACCCCTGCCTCACTCAGGGCTCCTCGCCCTCCGCTTCGAATGTTGCTAGTCACCAGTTGACGCGCGCTCCGAATTCCAGGGTGCCGTCCACGCGCCAATTCCACAGCTCAGAATTTGGTCTTGCTGCTGTGGCTGTGAAGCTAGTTCAACCGCGAGGGTGCGGGGGGGGCCACGCTTCAAGCGTCGCGGCATGGGCCAGAGAGGCGCTCTTCTCCATGGGTGCGGCACGAGGGCGCGAAGATACCCGCGCCTCGCGCGTCACGCGGCCCAGTGCGCGAAGTTATAGATGACCTAGGTCAAGCTTTCCGGTGATCCTGTTTCCAGCGGCTTAGAAGCGACCGACGACGAGGCTGCGGTACAGTCGGGGCCCTGAAGAAGGAACCCTTTTCGTTGGGGAGGGGCTCCGCGTTCCTTAGGTGTTTCGCAGCTTGCCTCAGGCTTTCCTTAGGTTTTCGACAGGAAATCGAGGGTTAACTTATGGGAAAAGGGGCCTCGTTCCTTATTTAGGGTTCCCCGTGTTTTCCTCATGTTTTCGATACGGAATCGAAGGTTAACTTATGAAAAATAGGGGCCTCGTTCCTTCTTTAGGGTTCCTTAGGTCAAGGCCCCGACGGTAGTCGATGCAGCCGTGGCGGCAGTGGCGCTGGGCCACCACGCGCAGGCAACCGCCAGGACGTCTGGACCACGCGCCCATCCGGAGCGCAGCGGGGCCGCCGTCCAGCTACACGCTGCTTGTCGTCGTTCTCACTGTCGGCGTCATCGCCATCGTCCTCCTCCTCCTCCTCCTCCTCCTCCTCCTCCTCCTCTCCTCCTCCTCCTCCTCCTCCTCCTCCCCCTCCCCTCCCTTCTCCCTCCTCCCTCCCTCTCCTCCCTCCTCCCCTCTCCTCCTCCTCTCTCCTCCTCCTCTCCTCGTCCTCCTCCTCCTCCCTCCTCCTCCTCCTCCTCCTCCTCCCCCTCTTCGTATTCGTTTGCTGTTCTCATTGTGCGTTACCTCTTGCTGTCTGGTTCATCTTCGTATTATCATCTTCGTGTGCCATCGATGAGTCCTGTCTTGCTTCGTCCTGGCCAACATGCAGCTGGGCCTCGTCCGGATA